CAGCCCCAACTCCACGGTCGGGGGCAGCCGCTATCACCCTGGCCCCCGGCACCCCCAGCCCCATAAAGCCACCCCTGCACCCAGCAGCGCTGCGGGGACACCGGCTCCCCAAAGCCCTGCAGGAGCACCCGCGGTGCCAACCCCCTGCAACGGTGCTTTGCCCAGGGGACATGCACCCTCCCTGCTGCACTGGCACCCTCGCACAGTCCTTTGTTACCAACCAGAGAGACATCATGGGCTTAAAAATAAAAACAAGCCCTGTGGTACCAGCTGTAAGGCTTCAGACCATAGCTCATCCATCACTTTGAGGCGCCCTGTGACCAAGAGTCACAGCCAACGGCCCCAAGCATTGCCACTGCCTTCTTGGATGGATCTCCAAGTACCTCATAAATTAACTTGTAAACGTCAATTAGGCAAGTCTGATAAATGCCGTGTGATCACGGCAGCGATAAGGCCGAGCAGGCTGAGCACCCGGCAGGGCACAGGATGCCAGACCAGGAGCACTGGTTCCATGCTGGCAGCCGAGCCGCGGGCACTAACCACCGAGGACCCCCCAACAAGCCACCCCAGGTAACGGGACGGGTGGACCAAGGAGGGACGCTAAGGGGAGGCTCCACGTCTCCACTTGTCTCCTACTTCTTCCCCGGCACCAAATTCAAGCAGGTGCCTCATCACCTGCAAACAGGGGGGCCTGCGGGGTGCTGCGGAGGGCAGTGTGTTGATGACAGTCCCCAGGGCCACCGGCCAAAGGGACAACAAATGACTGTGTGCAAGGTTTGAATCCGCATTGGTATTTTTTCTCTTTCAAGCTCGTTGGGTCACACCAGGGAGGCTGGAGAAGACCCAACAGTGCAACTCAGCTGTTTAGATTGATTTTTTCCAAGCCCCACGTAAGCTGCAGCAGCAGCAGCACACCCCAGCGTGCGGGATCAAAAAGCTGCATTTAGCTCAAAAAAAAAAAAAAAAAAAAAAAAAAAGCAATCCCAGACAAGGAGGCTCTCCATCAGGATCAGCATCTCTGGCGGAGCAGGTCTCAGAGCCAGCCTCTCCGCCGGGGCAAGAGCTGGCCAGGGGTCCCTGGGGGCACGTCGGGGGGCCGTGGCACAGCAGCCTTTGCAAGGCGGAGGGGCTCGGCTGGGGAGGGGAGAGGGGGCCGCTAACGTGCTGGGCAGCCCCGTGCGAGGCCAGGGAGGGATTTCACGAGGCAGGACTCACGTGTGTGCGCTCACCGACCAGACGTGCCAAAATTCAAGCACGAAGGTTGTACCGGGCTGTGCGCGTTGGGACGGGGCTGCAAACCCAGGGCTGCTGCCTGTGCTCGGCGCTTCGCTTACCGCTCCCCCTCCCAGAGCGGGGACCAACAACAGATTTAAAAACTTCAAATAGCTGAAAGCAAAGCAGAACATTTAGGCATCCTTTAATTTTTTGTTGAAGAACTGAAGAAGAAGAAACAATGACCAATTTTAATATCCCACTGCAGAAACAGGGGGCTTTGAGGGGCCTCAGCGGCTGAGATGGGGTCCCCAGAAATCCTGACTCACAGCGATAACCGTGTAAGAAAAAAACCCCAAACATGCAAGTAAGCTATTTCCCTTGGCAACCGCCTCCCCCTTGGCATCCTCAACAGCCAGAAAAATAATATTGACCATAAACGACGACATAACTAATATCACGATTCCTTGGGGGTGTATTTTGCAGCATGACCTTTTAGACGCCAGTCACAAGTTATAATTTAAGATCCATTAATATTTGAGAGATCTCTGTCCATCAGCTAGCCAGCTCTCAGGCTTAATCCAGCCTCCGGAGGGCTGCGAGTAGGAAACGTGCCCTTTCACCTTCATTTATTTATAGAAGGCAGAAATGAGATCGTTATTTCTGCAGCGCCGTGTCACAAAACGTGCAGCTCTGACCCTTCGGTATCTGTGGAACACCGCTCATAAATGTGAGCCGGAGACTCCGGCTGCTGCGCCCCGGGCCGGGAACCGGCAGGGGGGGGCCGGCAGCGGAGCGTCACCGCCAGCCAGCCCGGGGACACGGGGGCTGGAAAGCACGAGTGGAGCGGGCTGTGCCGCCCGCCAGCTGCTGCTTTAGCCCTTCATAACGTGCCCGTTCTCCTTCCGGACCCCCGTCGCCATCCCCATCCTGCCACACACGCACGCGGCGAAGGGTGCACGGCGCATCTGATGTCACGAGTGTGCCCGGACTCGGCCCTCTCCAGGGTTGGGGGGGGTGGGTAGGAAAGAGGTGGGGACGGATGGAGTAGGGGGATCACCTCCAGGTCCCCTCTCCCAGCACGCAGCCCCCCCCCC